TTGTGTCTCTACGGTCGCATCAATTATGTTATCAAGATCCCACATTTTTTGTTCTTCTTCTATTACATGTCTTACTGCATCTTTCCAGTTTTGTTCTGTAATGTGTTGTAAAGACTAGTATAACAATTCACTTACAGCTTGTATTTTATATGACGTATTTTTTCTAGCCACATAACTTTTCATTTGTGCCCAAATGAGTTCAATTGGATTTATTTCGCAGGGTGGAAGTCTAAGGACTGTGATGTTTCTCCTTTCCGCCATTTTGTCAACTACGTATTTCTTGAACTTAGATTTGTGTTGCCGGGCAATTTTTAAAAGTTCTGCTTTTACCATTCCATCTTCGTAAGGCAGGTACTTATTCCGCAGCCAGTCAAGAATATCCTGTTTTTTTCACGCAGTCGTTGGAAGTCTTTCTACTAGCTGTGAATGATAAGGTGCATTATCTAATACTATAGTTGAATTTGGTGGTATGTGTTCAATCATCTGCACAAAATACTCTTCGAAAACATCAGCTGTCATCTCCTTGTGATAGTCTTTTGTGCTTTTGGACTGAAATTCCAACAAATCATGCTTAACAAATCCTTTTTCACTGCCAATGTGAGAAATTATTAATCTACTGCCTTTACCAGAAGGTGGGGAGACACCAGTAGACCAACCTTCCATAAAGGCTTGCCTGGAGCTTAATATATTTTTATCTGACCAAACTTTTTTTAGAGTATGACCTGAGTTTACCCACGATTCATCCTGGTAGAAGATTGGCCTTCCTTCAGCCCGGAATTTTCGTATGGACCTTAGATAATTTCTTCTCCAACATATTATCTCCTCCCGGTCAATCAAAAGTGATTTTCGGTCTGATTTCTCCAACCGGAAATTTAGTTCTTTTAAAACTTGCCACAATTTAGTTCGTCCGATATGAGGCAAATCCGGATCATCTCTAACTTCTTGTCAAATTTTATTTAGGTTTGGTATTTCTTTTTTGAAAAAAAAAATCCATGAATTTTCCTTCGAATACCATTTTTGGCAAATTCATCAAGTTCAATAGGCTTTTTCCCTCTCTTTAAGTGTTCGTTTGTGTTTGGGTTAGCTATACCGTGTTTTTTTCTTTCTGATAGGAACCTATATATAGTTGACTCCCCTGCGCCAGTCATGTTGGCACAACTTTCGACTATGTTGCGAACAGTGTTTGTGGGATTCTGAGAAACCAGAGCATCGTGAACATTCGGGACAATAGTCTTCTCTCTTGGTGAATAGACAGACTTACTGACTGTACGCAACAGTACCGGTGTAAAACTTGATGATGTTGATGATGAAGCCATTACAAACAATCCAACAAAACGAGCACGAGCGAAAGGTACGTATATGTTCGTAGGTATATGGAATAAAAAATCACTCACGCACTGCATATAATTCGCAAAAGAAATATTCGAGACGCTAATTACTGCCGTAGAAGCGGAAACACCGACGAACCGTAAATTACATGCGATCAAAAACGTACTAAACAAACAAATTGTTTTCGTTCGTAATAACTTCACCCTTTTAAGTTAAGTTTCGAATATAAACTAAACAGACGAGGTACGTGGCCAAATCCGGCATCTATACTCATTATATTATTTAAAATTTGATAAATTCCATGCTAATTATCTTGCAACCGATAGTACCTTCGGATATAAATACCAGGTTTTCTAGTAAAGTGATTAAACGCGAAGATTAGTATTGAAATATCCAAAGAGATAAGGTATTCTTATTTACAAAATTGTTAATGTTTAAATTATTATTTTTATTAATATAATATAATAACCAACATTAGCCGTGAAAGTTTTAATTGTTTTTTACTAAATATATCAGTATTAAAACATTATTAATATTAATATTTGTGATGTAACGAATGTCATTTTTTAAACATTTGCGAATGCGAATGCGAGTGCGAATATATGCCACCGACATTCGCGAATGCGAATGCGAATATTCAGTTTTTTTTTTTAATTTGGCAATTTTAATTGTCTCCGGCACTGCCGGCAGTCTCATTTGCGCGAGGTGTGTAGGCAATTGGAAAAAGTCTGTCATTTTTAACTGCTTTAAATTGTCCAGTATCATTCTATCATATTTGCTAAAGTAAAGATGTGAAACAGTTGTATTTATTGTAAAGAAGTTTATTGTAGGCGGTTAAGTTTATTGAGGGGTCGTTTAAAAAGGTATTTATTTATAGTCACGTCCGGGCCAAAAACATAGAAAGCAGGTTTTTCGATCTTATTTTCTCTTGTTATAATCAAATTTGACTTGTTATAGAGAGAAAGTTATAGCAGAGAACTAAGTTCTCTGGTTATAGTTCCAATAAAAATTTCACGGGACACGAGTCACTCCACTTGCCCTGCTCTGCTCGTGCACAAATACAAGTGAATTTTTAGTTAAAGTGTGATTAGCTATTTATTACTATGAGTAAATCAAATTATAGTGAAATATGGACTTATTTTTCACCACTTTTCGATACTGAACGAGCTAAATGCAAGCTGTGTAATATTCGCAAAACATTCGCACAAATTTTGCGAATGCGAATGCAAATGCGAATATGCAAAAATATGCGAATATTCGCGAATGCGAATGCGAATGAGAAGATTCGTTACATCACTAATTAATATTAATATTAATTTTAATGAATAAACACCTCAGGAACGCCTATGATGATACAACTTTTACGACCGTTTGATGATTTTGAGGCATATTTCGTGCTATCAACAATTTGTGAACAGAGAATAGGTAAGGTAACTACGAAATAATTTTATTACGAATATCTACTAAATATACAAGTTTTATTGTTTGGGAAAACCTATCTGGGAATTATTTATCAGAAGAATAGGGCCAACATGCAGTTAGGTATTATACAGTAAATTCGTTTTTAAATTCTCTTTACCAGCTGGCAAAGCAACTGTGATTGTGAATATTGTGCTTATAAAATAAAAATAATTTCTTTGTTGAAAATATAACGAAAGTAGCGAAAAAAAATCAAGTCTATTGCGGAGGTGGGTTGGTGGCAAATGTGAAATGAAGATTATAGACAATGAAAGTATTTTCTGTACTATTTGTGATAAAAAGGTGACTCCACTTATATTTTAACGATTCAAAAATATAATTTAAAATCTTATTTTTGCAAGAAAATCGGTATACCTATACTAAACATGTAACAGTTTGACTATTGGCGGTAGTTTTAGTTTCGAGAAAAAAATATAAGTTATCTTAAAAATTTGAAGTCCATATATTATTGCATTAGACTCCTATTTACTAAACCGTTTTATTACAGATTCCATGTGGAAAAATATTCCAGATTTCCCAACACCTGAAAACGGCTCTTCGCCAATATAAACGCCAGTAGCCTCTGCAGAACAACATTATTCAAAATCGTCACACATATCGACGGGGCAAGAAATTTTTGCAAAAGATGTATGCAATTTTTTTGTAAGTTGCAATATTCCACTGTAAAATTGGATAGCAAGGTGTGTCAAAGATTTTTGAAAACATATTGTAAAGTTGGAAATAAGTCAATACAGGTACCAAGTTCTTCAACTCTTCGGAAGAAATATGTGAGGGCATCTTACAAAGACGTTATTGAAGGTATTAAAAGCCAGGTAAGAGATGAATATCTGTGGATATCTGTCGACGAAACTACTGACGCCAAGGGTCAGCAAATCGGGAATTTAATTATTGGAGTTTTAAACAGTTCAGCTGATGACTCCAAGAAGTCATATTTAATCAGCGTAACATGTTTAGAAAAAACCAACTATGCAACAATTGCTGGATTTGTTAATGAATCTTTGACAAATTTGTTTTTACCGAATCAAGAACTTTCTGAAAACATTTTGCTACTAGTTAGCGATGCCGCTTCCTTCATGGTTAAAGCTGTTACTAGTCTTAAGATTTTTTTTCCGGATTTGAGTCATTGTACATGCTTAGCGCATGGTTTAAACAGGGTGGCAGAGAAAGTTAAACTCGAGTTTCCAAATGTAAACACTTTAATCAACAATGTAAAGAAAGTATTTTTAAAAGCACCATTGCGAGTATAAGAAGATTTTTTTATTCAATATAGTAATAAATATAATAAATAAACACTCTCTAAGTTATGATATAATTTTATTTCTCACCAAATCTCAAGCCCTAAAAATTAAAAAAATATTTTTTTAAGTGCATATATAAATGCATATTGCATGTAATAAAGGTATATTTGGTTACTTTTTAAGTGCATGTTGCATGCATATTTTAACTCTACTTATTACCCAAAATACCGAAAATAGAGTTTGGCCTTTTTATTACTCAGGTCCAGAACTATTTTAAGAGATTTTAAATCAACAAAGCAATAACGCTATCAGAATATAAACAATTTAGTATCCACTGTATAAACGAATTCTATTATGATTTTAATAATTGGTAAACACACCAATATACAATATGCTACATACAACAAGAATAAAACATTTACAATAAAGGTCAGACATACTGAAATCACAACGAATAAGCATAATGTAAGAGAATAGAAATTAACAAACAATCACTTGTATTCTAGATAAGTATTAGGCTAAGACTGTATATGAAACAATGAATAATGAAAAAATGAGTAAAAATTGTAAGATTGACGAATGGATTTATAGTGTACGCAGTCATATAAACACAAACAAACAACAAATAAATAAAGAGAAAAATGAAGTCAGTGATGATTAATGATAAACAAATAAAGAAACAAATGAAATGAAAAAGGGTATAAAAGGAAAGAGAATATTACATGCAGAGGAAAAATTTTTGAAAGATAAGAGAGTAGCTTAGTGGTTAGGTATATTTCTTACGAATAAATAATCTACATTTTTATTAACTTCATGTTAAATAATGATTGCATACATACAATAATTTTTATTTCACCGTTGTTAATTAATATCCACAAACATCTTTAGATTGATGTCGTATTGATGATAGATTTTTTAAGATTTTAAGATATATAAAAAATTATTTAAACTTACCTTTGACTGGACTATTTGCGTCAGGCGTGTAAACGAAATGACTACTTCTTTTATTCACTAACCCATTTAAAACTCTAATTTCTGTTTTCAAAGGTCCTAAGCACTTAACACACAGTTTATTCAAAGACATTTTTACTAAGAGCTCTCTGCGTCCCCTGCTCAAATGTCAAGTAACTCGCTCGTAATGTAATCTCTTACCAAACGCAGCGACTACTACTATCAAGTTGATAACACAAGCTTTGTCAAGCAAGTTACTTACATTAACCTTGATAAACTCATCATCATAATACCAATTAATAAAAAATTTTAATTAAGTTTTGTGCGGTACCTATGTAGGTATACACCGTTTATTGTTTTAGCAGGTAAAAGTGGATTATAATTACGAAAGCACTTCATTGTTCTCGTCGTAAATGCCTACTGCAGCTCCTTGTAAATTACGAGGGAGACTTGATAAGTAAGAATATTCTTGTAAATATTTCTGTTATTTTATAAGGAATCTACAGTAGTGTTAAAAAGTCCTGCATCACCTTACCAAATACATGAAAATAGAAGTTTAAGGCATTTACCTTAAATATTTTTTAACCATTTACTATCTACATCAAACAAGCACTTAAACACAATATTATAAAATTATTATAAAATGGAAACACAGCAAAAATTTTGATTAATAAAGAAAATGTACTTCGTAAAATTTTTTATTCAATATTACAAAAATTAGGCTATTTACATCAAGACGATATTGTACATCACATTGAATTAATTTAAACTAATTTTAATATTTAATTGACCAGCCCTTGTTTTTAATAACTAGTACACATCTTTTGAGATGGAATTTATTAATTTTTGCAGTTCCTCCATGGAAATACAGTGATGCCAAGCGTGGATAATTTCGTTTTATTTATGGGTTTGCTTTTAAAAATGACGTTTGATATCCTTTGCAACAAATTCTCGATGGGATTGAGGTCCGGGGATTGCGCTAGCTAGTCTATCCTATCAATTTCATTACTCTCCATTCAAGATTTAACCAATTTTGCGCTATGGCAAGGAGTATTATCATCCTGAAAAATAAATTTTTCTTCGCCAAACAGGTCTTTTCTACTATGCAGCGTCTTATTCTGCGGTACCTCAATGTATTTGGTAGCATTCTTCATCCCAGAGACAACGTGTAAGCGACCAACTCCTCGAGCTGACATGCAACCCCATATCATAACGGAGGTTGGATGTTTAATTGTGGTAAGAACACATTTTGAAGAAAATTCTTCACCACTAAATTTTCTGACGTGGGCATTTCCAGCATAATTATTGAAAGTGGATGCATCACTAAACAGTACACTCTGCCACTGTTCTGCTGTCCAGATTCGATGTTCCTTGTTTCTGGTTTTGTTACTACTACCACTTGCAAACGCACTACCAGTATGAATTCGTAGAAATTCCCAAATCTTCGATCGCCATTATCATTGGTGAGAAACGCTCAGGTAATCCCGCTAAAAGTAGCGAACCTGGCGATTTATTGTCAATTTTAAAACCAGTTCCACTTAATTTTTGTCCTTTTTCAACTATTTGGTTTACATAACTTGCCATTAAACTGCAATCTTCCAATCGCGTTGAAATTGGCCTTCTCTTCAATTTTTTAAAGCGTCTCATATTTCTTTCGCATTTTTTGCTTGTTTTATATGTATATATAACGACGGATCAAGGAAAGGAACTAACTTGGCTTTAACTGTTTTTTGTTTGTCTACTTCAGTTTCAGTTACGTCTAAACACGTGGACAAACCTTCTAGAACAAAATAATTTTGCACTGGGAAAGCCCAATCATCGCAATTTTCACGGCCCAACAACGTTGGTACTCTAGACGTTTAATTCACTGCCATTTTAAACCTTAATACTCACTATTATACAATGTTTGTCGATGTACCAACGGAAAAATTAGTCTGGCCATCATAATCTGTTAAAAGTTTTAAATGAAACGAACCAGTAGAGTATACAGTTAAGACTGATTTTATTTTCTCCAAAAGTAAATACAATTAACAGTTTACATTGTACAAACCTTCTTCTTCTTCATGTACCATCTCCTCTAAGAAGCTTGGCAACCATCATGGCAATTCGCACTTTCGATGCCGCTGCTCTAAAGAGGTCAGCAGAAGTGCAGTTAAACCAAGCTCTCAAATTGTTTAACCCGGAGATGCGTCTTCTTCCGCGACTTCTTCCACCCTGTATTCTTCATTGCATTATTAATTGCCACAAGTTATAACGCTCGCCTCTCATGACATGTCCCAGATATTGCAGTTTTCTGACTTTAATTGTATTTAAAACCTATTTCTCTTCCAATTCTTCACAACACCTCGACATTCGTGACTCTATCCACCCAACTTATTCTTAATATCCTTCTGTAGGCCCATAACTCGAAGGCTTCTTTCTTTCGAAATATCTTTCTTTAATGTCCAACCCTCCAACCCATAAAATAATACGGAGAACACGTAGCATCTCAGTTATCTTTAAAGAAATTGAAATGTCCCTGCTGCAGAGTACTTTTTTCGGTTTGTTAAAATAATTTCTTGCCTGTCCTTAATCTCTTCTGTGTACTCATTATTTTCGTTAATTATTGTACCCAGATCTTTATTTTTTTAACTTTTTAATTTTGTTCTCCACATATTGTTATGTTTTCTTGGCGCTGTTTAAGCTATAGGCTCTGTAGGAACAGTTTGTTTACTTCACTGACCTCTACCACCCTGTCAACCATTTGTAGTAAATCCTCAAGACATTCCGCCAATAAATTAGTGTCGTCGGCAAACCGTATATTATTGATTGGTCGACCATTTACTTTTATTCCCATAGTTACTTCTAGTATTTTCTGGATTATTTCCTCTGAATATAAATTGAACAAAATAGGAGACAGGACACAGCCCTGCCTGACGCCCCTCTCGATCTGTATTTTATTTCACAGCGAAGTTTTTCCTTTCAAGTAATTCGATATGATGGTTATGTCTGACCTTATCGAAGGCTTTGTTGTAATCCAAGAAACACATACCCTTTGCACCTTTGGTTTTTTTGGTAGTGTTATGGGAATGATTCCTGTACTATACCAACCGATACCAACCTTAACTTACTGTAAATGACACATAGCCCTAATATTTAAATTTTGTTTAGTTGATATCAATATTTCAACAAATATGTGTTCAATTTTATTACACCGAGGGAAGATTTCATCTTCATACCTTTATCGACTTTCGTAGTGCAGACAGTGATGCACCTAGGGGGGGTAAACCCCACCCCCTCACCCAGGGCACTATTCCGTCACTGTTATTCATAAATTATAAATTTTACGAAGTTAGAATGGTGGAGTCTTAGTGTGGTCATATCAAAAATATTGATGATAGTGACATCACTTTGGCGTCTCTAAAATCAAGTACTTTCTAAATACCATAATACAACAGTAGAAAATCCATATTAAATAATTAAGACTAGATCCCTCCTTTCTTTTCACATTAAATATTTCGGAATGTATTCCTAATAGTACTTATTGATGATCCCTCGTACTTCATTTGACTTTGAATGCGTAATCGGATTTACTACTTACGGTAATAAAATTTTTTTGAATTTCCGTTTTTGTCGACAGAGTTAGAATATTAATAATTCCCGAAGCAAGCTGATAGTATTTGAATAGATACTCAGACAGATTTTCCTTGTAGAAAAATTAAGATTCATTCACCCTATTTAAATCTCTTAGGGATTAAAAACGGTACAACATTATAATAGTTTACATTTAAAATAAGAATATTCTAGGAAAGGATAATCGGTTCTCGGTTTCGTCGAACAATAATGTTTTTATTTTGAGAACAATTTCCGAAGTGGAAATTGAATAATAAAATCAATAAACAGTCAATAAACTTATTTTAAACTTACATTGTGGCTTATTGCCATTAAAATAGTAATTGCTTAAGAAATGAAACTAAACTTTATAGTTTTTTAGTTTGGTGGACAAAGTTACATTAAAAAGAATTAACGATCTATGTGGATTTGAATTTAAGAAAAGCATAATGTAGTTATAAAAATTGAGCGGTTTTTACAGCCAAGTCTTCATATCTTGCACTAACGGCAGACGATAAAACAGACGTATCTACGCAAAGTCAGATGATAAATACAGTTGTTTAAATAATCGCTGTCCGAGATATAATAGTTTTATTAAATGTTATTATGCAAAAAAAAACAAAATAAATTACTGTAAAAATCAATTCTTCTGTATTTTAGTTTAGAAACTCGCAAAAAAAAAAGAACTTTTAAAGATATACAACATTCATTTCAACCAGTTTTCTCTAATATGTGTAAAGAAACGTTTTTTAGGTAAAAAATAATTTTTCACAAAGCAAAATCAGCTGTATGTGATCAAGAATTTGTCATCAGCTATCCCTCATATTATTATAGAATCTTCAAAAACCTGTATAAGATTTTAAAAATTTTTTTTTCTTTACTGGCCTAAATCTTTATATTCTTTGCGGGTCGGATATTACTTTACACTTTACTGACTGTTGAATGTTTTCTTTACACAATAGTCAAAAATTTTGACCTGCGCGAAGTACCTGCTTTAGTTCTGTTGCCTATAGATACATCATGATACTATAATATAAAGATATGATCGCAAAGTGTTTCAAATTCGTTCGATTCTGCGCATGACGTCAAGGGGTGACGATAAATGGCGCCAATTTAAAACAACGGATAACATGCAGACTGGAATCTTACGGATTATTTATGTTAAATTTCTTTTTACGAGACGTAGTGATAAAATAATGGATGTAAACTTTTGTGAATTATGGATTTATTAAAGATAAACTATTTATAGGCTAATGTGAACTTTAAATAGTGGCGTTTTTATTAAAATTATTATGTCACACCAACTATGACATGTATAAAACCTTATTAACACTAAATTTTATCATTTTTTCTTATTAAAAAGATTTTTCGGATCTACAGACCAGTCTTTGAAAGAAGGATCTGATTTCTTATTTCCGTTAGAAGTTTGGTCATTACATCTGATACTTGTTTTTCAGTGAAAATTTGTGTCAAGGTTTTTTAGTTTGATTACGATGTCTTATAAGACATATAACCTATAGGTTATATATTCATAATTCTGCGAGATTATTTCATCATCGATCTCATTTTTTTCCAATTGAAAAATGTCTATATAATCAGTCATTTTTAAATATATAAAAATTCTGGGATATATATA